CAGTTTGGGAATCTAGGCCACTAAACACTGAGATTTTTGTTTGTTGTAGGTGGTGGTGGTTTGTTTTTGCCTTTTTCAAACAGTGTCTCACTACAGCTCACGTTCTGGAGCTACGAAGCTCAAGCTGGCCTTGAATTCTTGGCATTTCTCCTGTTTCAGCCTCCTGAGTGAGATTATAGGCAGGAGTCACCATGCTCGGCTTGTTTGACTTTGGATAAGACAGCACACTCTCTAGGCCTCATTTGCAAATTGTGAATAGTAAAACCTATGCTTAGGGCTGTTTCAGGCATTACTTGGCTGTCCATGGAGAGCTTCCAGCAAATACACATGGCCAGGTGGATATTTGGAGGCCCCATACCATATCCCTATATTGGACTGCCTCCTGCCTCACCCCTTGATCACAGCCTGTGCTTGGGCCAGGAGACAGGGAGTCAACAATGGAAGATTCTAAGGAAGCTGCAACCCAAGCGGGGTGAAGGCTTGACCTACCTGGTCTGTGTACTTCACCTGCCTATGGACACCTGGGAATTGCCCAGGTCTCAGATCCAATGCTGATGTCAGGAGTCTCCCCAGGACTTGAGCTCAATCCTTAAGTCTGTAGGACTCCCTTGTATTTTTGACCCGAAGGCTTTGAGCTGTAGTGTGCTACATACAGAGGGTGGAACACTGACGCCCCGGGGCTTTAGGGTGAAAGACAGCAGACAGTCCTTATTTGGGGACTCTAGCCTTATCCAGGGCTGTTGACTATTTCTTCTTCCTCCAGTCTGTGGTTTGAGTGTTCAGGAGGCCAGAGGCAGCAGCTGCTCTGCTTTGGAGGTGACACAGGGCTTAGCAGCTTCAATCTGATTTGTGACCCTGGGCTTAAATTCCATCACAGTGTTTACATCTACAAACCCTTGCAGGGACAGGACTGAGGGGCCAAACAGGCAGTTCATACCCCTTGAGACCTCACTCTGATATCCACTGTTGTATCAACATTCCTCGTGTTTAACATGAGTCCAACAGCTGCAGAGCTAAGGAAAAGACTGAAGAAAAAAATTGGCCACACAAAGACACTGGCCACTATGGTCCTCCTTCCCCAAGATGCCTCCGAGCTTGTACAACCACCTCTCCACCCCAGCTAATTCTCGGCCATCTGCCCCTGTCCTTAGGTGTGGGCTTTGCCACCAGACAGGTGGCTAACATGACCAAGCCTACCACAATCATCGAGAAGAATGGGGACACTTTGATCATAAAGACGCACAGCACCTTCAAGAACACAGAGATCAGCTTCCAGCTAGGAGTGGAGTTCGATGAGGTGACGGCAGACGACAGGAAGGTCAAGGTGGGTCAGAGAAAGGGGATGGAGGGTACTGAGACGCTGTAGGGGAAGAGGCTGGCCCTCTCTTAGCTCCTTGGCTTTGTATCCCAAGGGGTCAGAGATTTAGACCAAGGTTCATAAAGCCTGTTCAGTGTTGGGTGCCCCAGGGGCTAAGTACAAGCTCTGGCCTAGTTTCTCCCTGCCTTCCTGGGAGGGATCTATCAGCTGCCACTCGAGTGGGCAGCAGAGCCAAGATGTTCTCCTGACCTTGTGTCTCCAGCCCCAGCTGGGTGACCTTGTGCACCGAGGTATGTGGTAGCTCTGAGGACTTCAGCAGCCGTGGCTGTGACCTGAAGTGCTTCAGGAATGATGCCCAGAAGTCAGTGCCCTGGACCGAGGTCATCCAGGCTCTGTCAGCAAAGGAGGCAACTGGAAACAAAAGCCTGAGTCCTACTTACAGGTTTCCTCTTCTGCGGCCCCAGGCTAGGCCACTGCCCTTGACACCAGCTGACAGCCAGGGCTATGCTCCAGGAAGGGCACTCACCAACATGAATGTTTTGGGTGCCTGTAGTCTCCAAGTATTGATTTCAGGGTATGGGAAGGAGCACCTACCTCCAGCGTTGCTCAGTTGCCTCATGGTGATTATCCTGGCAGCTTGCTCTAAACTTCCCAGCAGTGGTTCAGGCACAGAACCTAGGGCTGTTGACGTCTGTATCTACAGATTGTCCCTATACCAGTATCCCCTGCAGCATAACCCTAAGTTGATCTCTTTAACTCTCCCACACTGCTGCCTCCAGAAAGAACAGGGTAGGTACTGGTCTTGCAGATGCTGAAGCCCAGCCCAGGACCACACAGCAGGCTAGCAGTGGCACAGGGGATGGTGTCTGAGATGACAATGTATTTTGGATGAAGGAGGCTTAACATCCTTGAACTTGACACCTTTTTTGTGGGACCAGACCCCACATGAAATACAACAGTGGCCTGCTGGGATGTTTGGGCCAAAACCGAACTATTGAGTTGATAAAATCCAATGGGGAATGCAGATATTCCAGAAGGTGGACTATACAGAAGGAACAAGAGATGAGTGATCAAATACAACCATCACCTTTCTAGATGTGTACCCCACAAACCCTGCTGAGTTCCCAAATTCCTAGAGAAGAGGGACCTGGGGAAGCTGCCAGACAGAAACCAGCTGATAGAAGCTGGCAGCACTGGGGACCAGATGGGCACTGGAGCTGGAGTTGAAGAACACTCCAAGGACGCCTGGTCCTGGGACCTTGCGATTGCTGCTCTTTTGCCAGTTAAGGGGGTCACGTGATATAAACTAAAGGAAGTCTAATTTTCCAATACGTCCCAAGGATCTTTTAGACACGGATATGCACAAGACTCGAAAGATCTTCCGGATTCCTCTTTGGGTAGTGTCAGAGAAATGAATGGGCTTGACGGGACCTGGGACTGGGCTCTACTGAGCTACACCTCAACTTGAGGTCCTCTTGGTCAGCAGGCTAGGTTCCTGGTCTGTCTTGCCCTTCGGTTCTGGCCCTGGTGACAGCTTAGGCTCTACCTCTTCCCACAGTCAACCGTGACACTGGATGGAGGCAAACTTGTCCATGTGCAGAAGTGGGACGGGCAGGAGTCTACACTTGTAAGGGAGCTATGTGACGGCAAACTCATCCTGGTAAGATGGGCAGTGGTGGGTCCTCCCCTGGGGGCCAGAATAACTAGGAAAAGAGAGGCAGGGGTGGAAATTACACACAAGCCTTGGTTCAAGTATCAGCCTAAAGGACGCCCCACTCTGGACAGACACATTGCCTTAGTAACATCAACTGTGAGGGCTGCTGGGAAGACAGTGTATTCAGAGCCAAAAGCACCATCCAAGTGGGAAGAATGCAGCAGGTGCCCATGATCGCCTCCTCCTGCTTGCTCTTTCCCAGGAAGAGGGAGAAAGCAGGGCCAGTTGGCCCCAGGCTCTCTAGGAGCAGTGGCCACCCCATCCTCTCCTGGGTGGCCAGCAGACATCTGCAGCAGCAGGGTCTGCTGTGTCTGGCTTCCTGCAAATACCAATGGCCTAGATAGGGGATATACCAGGACTGCAGATTTGCTCTGGGACAGGTCTGAGAGCTTCACCAGCAGACTGCAGCTTTGTAGATGGCGTGCACCAGAAGCACGAGTGCGATGTCAGCACCACAGACCCATCTGGCTCAGTGGAACCTGCTAACTCTATCTCAGTCAGATGAGACTGGGGTCCCCAGCGAGTCAGGAGTGATGTGCCTAGCTCTAGTAGGGAGGTAACAACAGTACCATAGGCACCGGGCAGTTAGACTAAGGTGACCACAGCTTGGCTCTACTGTACCACAATCATGGGTAGTTAGGGGAAGGAGGAAAGGTTGGTGGGTTAGCGGTTTTCTCAAGGCTCTGGATCTTCTTACTCACGTGTTTGTCTACTATGTGCCAGGCACCGCCTTAGTAGGCAAGTGATAAACACAAAGGACCAATTCACCTCTTCTTTCAAGGGCCCATTTCCCCCAAAATCTTTAAAATGGGAATTATAACACCTATATTAAAAAATTTGTATCAAAAAATGTCAAGTTCCTGGCATATAGTAGGTATTCAAGTTCTGTTTAGGATGAAGAGAGTGAGGAGCACCCTCTCTTGCTCTGCCCCATTTGACCCTGTTTTTCCTTCCAGACACTCACCCATGGCAATGTAGTGAGTACCCGAACTTATGAGAAGGAGGCATGAGGCCGCTACGCTGTCACAGACTGTTCCTCTGCCAGCTGGCTACCCCTCGACTCAGCACCATGTTGCCTCATTTTTTTTCCTCTGGTGTTTTGTATAAATACACATTGGCTGGGATTTTTCTGGAGATCAGGGCACCAGCCTGGAGTCCAGTTCCCATTGTGTATGTGGTTTATTTTTTAAAACTGTACCCAAAGGGTGCTCCGAGGTCAATAAAGCAGAGCCAAGGCCACCCAGTTGCTTTTGCCTTTGGTCTTCCTTTCCTTTGTGCCCTAGGCTGAAATGAGAGCCTGTAAGCCACCAAGAAGCAGCACTGGTAAGGAGCCCAGGTGGACAGTCTCCTGCCACCGGTGAGGGCACAGCAGCCCTGTACAATCCTTTATCCTGGCTCGCCATGGTCATAGCTGTCTCTGAGTGACCACTTCACACCCACTCTGCACAGAACACACCTGGGCTGACTCTACAGTGTGCTGTGGCCACCCTCTTTTTCTTGTCTGAGTACAGACTCAGGACAAGGTCCGGGGATCACTGTGGTGGGAGGAGACTGCTAAGTTCCCATTCATGCCCCAGTGAGCCCCCAAGGTTACGGTCTTCCTGGTTTTCTAATCAGCCCAGGGCATGAGGTCTTCACTATGGAAGAGGGGACTCAAGAGTAATGTCAAGAAAGCTGTGATTTGCTGGGTGGTGATGGTGCACACCTTTAATCCCAGAACTTAGAATGCAGACAGGCCTCTGTGAGTTCGAGGCCAGTCTGGTCTACAGAGCGAGTTCTAGGACAGGCTCCAAAGCTACAGCGAAACCCTGTCTCGAAAAACAAAAACAAAAAAAGCTGTGACTTTGTGACTTCTAGTGGCCTTGGTTTCTTTCCAGGGTCTCGGATGACATATTAAGTGTATTCTGTGAACTATTGTGCTAAGTCTGTAGGTAACTCAGGAAGGATTATAGGAATAAGGCCTTCTGGAAAGTTTAAAACCAAACACATTTCCATTTATGCCAGGAATTTAAGCAGAGACCTGAAATGGAAGAGTCGCTCACACAGTGATGGACAGAAAGCAGAGCAATGACCTTGGCTTCAGAGCACTGGTTTAGCAGTCACTGCACACAGCCTTCACTTTGAGCACAGGCCCAAGCTAAGGGAATGGAGATGGGGAACAACACTTCTCCCTCCTGCTGCCAACAGAGGCTGCAGAGTCCACCCACAACTGGTCCCAAATAGCAGGCAGACGGGCCGCTCACCCATAACAGCCAGGCTCACCTCCACAGTAGCACCTGTGGCTCTAGCTTGGACTCCTGCAAAGAAACCAGCTCTGGTAGTGGCAGCCAGGGACGGTACTAGAACCTTCTGCTGAATGAGAAAATTGTGTACAAGAATGCAATGGCTGCAGGGGTCACTTGCAAAGGGATCAGAAGCAATAAGGAAAAAACATTTTGGGAGCTTCCCTCTAGCTTCTCAAGCTGCTTGCTGCACGAGAAGCCATCTGAGACCACAGGGACAAAGTCAGTGGGGTGGGAGGCCATATTCTCACTACTGAGTCTTTCCAGGAGCAGGGCTGCTGGAGCCATGGCCCAGTCCACCCTCATTCCTTATGCTTCTTGTGCTTCTTCTTCTTCTTCTTTTTCTTTGTAGCCTTGCTGTCTTTAGATGCATGCCTTGCCTTCTTGCCCACATCACTCTCAGAGTCAGAGCTGTCACAGTCAGATGACTTCCTGTCTCTGTGTTTCTTTTTCTTCTTTTCCTAAAAGGAAAACATAAAGTTTCAATATGTGTGTATATCTCCTTTAATAACAAAACCACAGCAGGTGACGAATAGGTGAGATGCACCACACTCTGTACCAATCCCAAGGACTCTGGAGGTAGGAACAGGAAGATCAGGAGTTCAAGGTCAGGAGGACTGCACAGAGAAACCCTGTCTCAAAAAACCAAACCAAAACAAAAAGAAACCTGGGCAAAGAGGCGCGTGCCTATAATAATCCCAGTGCTACAGGGGCCGACTGGGGAGGGTGTACAACACAGCGAGCTCCAGAAACGGGCAGTACATGTTGTTACTGGTTTTTTTCTCTAACGCTTGCACACAGTTCTTTGTTAAGAAGATGTAAGGTGTGAGCTACTGACTACTTTGTGTCACACAGATTATGTTTTTAATGGGAAGATTTCAAGGGTCTCACGTATTCTCACCAGACCACTGTCAGAACAGCCACTCAGATTTGCCTAAGGAAATAGAATCAGGATGATTCAAATAGTTTTAAATGACTCAGCTCCAATAATTCTGCACACACTAATCATTTAAAATAGTTTACACATGAAATTGGCCCAAATATTTCATACTGTTTTAGTAATGTGAGAGACAGTGTTATGGGAAGAGCTCCTTTGACTCCTGGTGGAATGGGCATGTCTGATTTTTCTTACATAATTAGCAAACTATTATTGAGAAATGCCCTATCCTGTTTCTGTCCAAAAGAGGAAAAAGTCATCCCCACTTCCCTGAAGTGGTACTGGGGATTAAACCCAGCATGCTGTGACTGTGATTTACCCCCTGAGCCAACAAAATGTTAGGTTTAAAATTCTGGTTTAGAACTTTAATCTTGATTTCCTGATACCCATGTAGTATTTTATTTGGGAAGATAAAACTTATCTTCCTGTTCTGTCCCCCACATCTATTTTTTTTTCTTAGCAGATATCTGAAAATCCATGTTCTTCAATGATTTTATTTAGGAGAGTGTTGTGATATATTTGAATTTGGCTGTTCTTATACTGTCTTCTGTTGACTTTGATAAATTGTACAATAGATTGGATCACTTCATTTTTTTGTCTTTGAAATGTACATTTTGTCCTTATAGATTCTTTATTTTTCAGGCATGACTTTATGGTTGGCTTTTAAAGGTAGGAACCAATGAAAATTTAAGGAAAGCAGTCTTATCTACTGATCTAAGTGCAATTAGATGAAGAATATTTGGGTTTGTGCTTATTTTTAAGTCATGTTTGTTTGTGGAAAGTTATGCATTATAGATAAAGAAGTAGCAAATACAGATCCAATAAAAGCAAATGAGAGAAAATAAACTGAAAAGAAAGAAAAATGCAAGTGACAGTAAAGCATTTGCGATGGCTCCCACCTGGAACAGCACTAGAGGCCGAGGCAAGAGGAACACCTGAGGCTTGAGACCACCTGGGGTTACATAGCAGGACCAGGCTTTGTTCTTCAAAGAAGAGAAATAGAAGAGAGTATATGAAAGTGATGGGCCATACTCTCATGACCTTACCTACAGACAAAAATTTACATTTACATTTTGAAGACAATAAAGAGGCCTCGAATGTGTGCTGGTTAAGTCTTACAGCAGGTTGGAGACAGGGCCTGAAGGAAGAGCCACCATCACCAAAATCCCAAGAATCCAGATACGAGACCATGCCTACCAAGGGTCTAATTGAAATCTGTACAATGTGCTGAAATCTGGTATTAATAAAATGTCAAAAATAGCATACATGGTTAAAATAAAATACAAAAGTATGTTGATTGTTTGAGGTGAAAGTTAAAAGAAAGCCGGCTGAATCATTAGGCAAATTGGGAAATCATTTTAAATAAACAGATGACATCATGACACAGCAAAAAAAAAAAATCCAAATGAGAGAGAGAACTAGGACCCTCAACATTTGTAGATTTTATCTTATTTAAACTGTGCTGAAAGTGTGATGATGTGTACAAGATAGACATGCTACCATGTTTACACACACTTGTGCATATTTAGTACCCACAAGACTCCTGGATCTGGAGTTGGTTGCAGGGATTGTGAAACAGACACCAGTGGTATGGAACTGAACTCCAGCAGCACAAGAGTTGGGTTTGATTTTTTTCTGTTTTTTGTTGTTGTTGTTGTTGTTGTTTTGTTGTTGTTCTTTGAGACAGGGTTTCTCTGTGTAGCCGTGGAGCCTGTCCTGGAACTTGCTCTGTAGACCAGGCTGACCTCGAACTCAGAGATTCGCCTGCCTCTGCTTCCCGAGTCCTAGGATTAAAGGTGAGTGCCACCACTGCCTGGCTTTCAGTGAGTTCTTAGCTAGTCTGGTCTACAAGAGTGAGTTCCGGAGAGACCTCATCTCAAAATGAATAAATAAAAATGATAGATAAATAAGTTTAGGTCAATCTTTCCAACAGTCAAAGTAACAGGAAAAGCAAGTATTTGGGGTGGGGTGTTTGGAGCAGGATCTCAAGCAGCCCAGGCCCATCTTTCTATTCCTGACTCTCCTGCCTCAGCCTCCAGGGCACTAGAAATGCAGTGGTGTACTACTATGTCAGCTTTTGGATTCTTTGGAAGAAATAGGTACACCAGGCTTTTCTTTCTGCCATTTTTATATCATTTATATGAGTGTTTACATGCACTCCATAACTTTCAAGAGTCAGTTCTCTTTCCCCTGGGGATTCAACACAGCCAGGCCTCAGGCTTGGCAACTAGCTGCCGTTATCCACTAAGCAATACCACTGGTCTCTCTACTATCATTTTAATTAAAACAAACAAACAAAAAATTCATAGGGAAGCCTACTCTACAGGGCATGGCATGGGAGGTCCAGAACTCTAGTGGGGTTAGGCACAGTCAAAGAGAATGGGGCAACAGTCCTGAGCCCCTGGAGGCTGCCAGAATATAGACTGGAGACTGTTCCTTTACGGCAGCCCCACAGATGTGCTGGCAATGGAAACGGATGGCCTCCCTTACCCCAAAGGGTAATAACCGTCCTGAGCTACATGTGAAGGAGCTTCGGGAGGGAACATGGTCAGAGGAGAAAAGACGATTTTCTCACCCACACAGAGACGGCAAGCACTCTGATGGATCAGCATGGACCAGAGAGGGATTCTAACTGACATTTCAAGACTCTGCAAATGGAATTTTTTCTTTTCTCACAGGGGGAGGTCCTAAAGTTAGACACCTCTACACACAACCATGTCACCAGAGCTAGCAGCACAAACCCAGAGTTGGTTCCTAGGCTTCTGAGGGGCGACCTGGGTAGTACTTCAGCACTGTTTAAGTATCTACACTGTTTCACCAAAATTCCCCAAAGGAGACACAGGAAGAGGGAGGGAACACAGAAAAATGAGGTTCCTGCTCCTGCAGGCTTTCTGGCCAGCATCCTGCAAGCCTGTCGGCCTGGGTGATGCACCAGGGGCTCCAAGCTGCCTTGTGGGGGAAAGAACAGCAAGTCAGGTGTCACGCAGACTTAGCCCCGAGTTCTACTTCCTACTCTGCAGCCTTGGAGCTCACTGAAGTCTAGCTGCTGCAAATGGAAATCAGGTAAGAATAGCACCTATGTCACACGACTGTGAATATTTAATGAGACAGGATCCATGGTGTGAAGAAGTTGGAAGCACTAGTCCCAGATTATAGTGGCAGGGTTGCCATCTGCCTGTAGATGGAAAGATGTATCTCCTGAGGGCACAGCCCCTCTTCCACGAACATAACAGGAGGCCCACAGTATGGTGGTCAGAACAGCAATCTTAGAATAAGACAGCTGAATTCTAGCTCCGCCACTTGAGTTGCCCTGTAGCTGGGATGAAGGACTTGTTTAAACTATACTTACTCCAGAAGATGCTATGAGAGTAAGTGCTAAGCCTGACACATCACAGCGCCCAGCAACACCTAACAGCTCCCCTTCCACCCAGTGCTAGTGACTGAGCCCACAACTCTGTGCACACCAGGCAAGCGCTCTACCATGAACTTACGTCACCACTGTACAAGTACTGTTTCTTATTTCAGTAACTCCCAGGGTCTTCTCAGTATCAGCAAATAAGTACAAAAAATAAGTTAAAGTTTTCTCCAATAAATACTCTAGAGAGTAGAGGAAATGCCTTTTAGACCTACATTCCCAAACTCTAACAACCACAGCTAGGAGCTGAAAGGTGGCAAGTCCATGGCTTAGTTTAAGTCTAGCACCTTCCTGGATGCTGTGGGCTTGAGAGCCTGGTGAGGTATGTCTCATAGGCAGGCACAGTCCTGGGAAGTAAATGAGCCGACATCTGGCTTAGCCTGGGGAGGGAGGATAAGCATAATACTGCTTTCATATCCCTATACTATAATACTCTGCCAGCTTTAGTTTAGCCTTTGTATTTTCAGAGAGCCTCACTATTTTCCCTGGTTTGCCTGAGACTCATTATGTAGATCAGGCTAGCCTCTTAGTTCTGCTTCTCCAGTGCTGTGGTTATTGGCACACCCTCTAATGAGCAATTCTTGAATTTCACTTATCTCATCAATCAGCCAAGATGGGCACTCCTCACCCAACACCACGTGCCTCATTTCTACTAATTTACTTTTGGGCAACTTCAGACACGAAGAGTATCAACACACAGATAATTTCCACATGTCTATCTTTTACTTTAGCTTCTCCCTGAACCCTGAAGGGTATCAAACACCTATTCCACAGTCCCTTCAGGTATGAAACAGGCACCTCAATTCCTAGGCCCAGCCCCTCTCTCAAACTTAACCTCGTCCAGCTCTCATTCCCATCTTCATAGACAGCAATTCAAACTAACCACACACATACTCCAAAGACAGGGTTTCTCCATGTAGCCCTGGCTGTCCTGAAACTTGCTCTGTAGACCAAGCTGGCCCTGAACTCAGAGATCCTGCCTCTGCCTCCCGAGTGCTGGGATTAAAGGTGTATGCCACACTGCTGGTTCAGACTAAAACCTTGATTCCTTTCTAGTGTTTCACCTCAGATCTTTCAGCTACAGTCTGAAACTCATGATGCCATCTTTA